AGGGAGAAACGGGGTTCTTAATTTAGTCTAATCAACTGTCATTTGCATCGCGCCATTTGCGCAAGGTATTGCCACTAACTGAATAAATGGACTTCTTCAGACTCGAGGGGGGGCACTCCGGTTTTGATAAGCTGGCAACATAACTGATTTGCATATATTACTTTGATTATCTCATTACTAGGATGATTCTTGCGGATTTTTTGACACTCGCGCAATCGAATTAAAATGAAGGCACGCAATCAATAAAAGGGCAACGCGGCTGTGAAAACACACTGCACCCCAGGTTTGTATGGTCAACTATAGCGACGATGGTGACGGTTATGATGATGATGATGGTCATGATGATGATGGTCATGATGACCTCTTCAGCTCACGAGCTCCTGGACTCCGTAGTGAGTTTGCGAGAGTCTCGCGCTCCTGATTTCTGTGATCAAGGCAGTAATCAGTGGAGACAATGGGGGCCGTGAAATTGCTGCTCTCGTGTGGGTGACCTATCCACCCGCCATGAATCTAAGAGTGGCCCGCAGGCGGCTCATGTTCTCGCAATCGATAATAGCGCTCACATCTTTCCTCCGACTCCAACCCATCTGTGGCACGATGAAATCATGCGTAAAGACGCGCACGCCTGGGATAATTTTGCCAAGTATCCCCAATAACCTGGTACACTGTCGGCAACGGGCGTGAAGGCCATCAATTCAGCTGAGCTCCAAGAAGGTTACGAGCAGGCATCATCTGTCACCAACACCTTCAAACCTTGCCTCGTGAGCGATCTTAAACATGAAATGTATCTTTTGGGTGTGATTCTATGTGGCTTAACATTCTGCATGACTTTCTTTGTGTTTCTTATGACAAGTGGCTGATTTGTTGCCACACACAATTTGGAGACTCCTTCTCCCCTCTTCCAACAGACACTCACTCGTCTGCACACTAACCGGGAGCAAAGGCACACGTCCACGTTTTAAATTCGTGATGTAAATAATTATAGGCCTGGAAATTGATTTCCTTACGACCTTCTCGCTCAAACGAGGCCTCCGAACCCCCCCCCCCAAAAGAAAGCTACTTCTGTTGAAGCATTAAGTCATTAATTATTTTCCTTACATAAGGACAAATTATCGAGTCAGTTGAACGAAATTAGAACCCTTTGTTTCTGATCAGACCGCATTACCGCTGGAAATTACGGATGATGGCGTGCGCGCTCGCCTTTGTTGTTTCGATCATCGCCTGTCGCTCTGAACTCGCGCTAACAAAGTCATTAAATTGACTCCCTCTCGCTCTCATTATGCGGGCTGTTAATAACCGCTAATTAACTTTGCTTACGCGCGCCTTAAAAGCCCCCCACCCCTCCCAACACACTGTCTCTTCCTCTCTCTCTCTCCTTCCTTTCCCTTCTTGGCCTCTCGAGCAGAGCAAGTGTTCAATTATGTCAGAGCGCGAGCTGGATAGAGGATGAGGCGTTGTCACCAAGGCCACGAGCCAAATGATGCACGTTAGGGACCAGTATTTGCACATGTTGCATACTGAGACTTACTTGTGGTATAAAAGAAAACGGATAGCTATACATGTAGGATACATGTCTCTTGTATGGGTGTGGGTGTTCAACTTTCATTGGAAGAAGTTGTTATTTTGTGCAATAAGGAGGCACAACCACAGAGTTTTATCAGAACATCTGTGTTTAGATTATAACTGGGACTTAGCTGTTAAGAGAAGTTTGCTATTCCATCCAGGAGATGGCGCCAGCTGAATGACCCGCAAGGCAAAGCACAATCTTGCTGGTCTTAAACGATGGACCTCAGTATCACTTCCGTGGCCTTCAGCTGAGAGGACGACACCTGAGATGAAAGAGAGCAGAGATAGCCTGCATCACATAGGAGAGAGCTGTTACAATGTATGTACTCATGGCATGTTTAATATACGCAAAGCATCCCTCTGACTTGAATATGTTAAAATAAAATGGGCAAGGTGCATGACACCTGTCAGTCAGAAAGGCCTGCGGACTAATACAAAGTGGCAGTATCTGAGCTTTACACGAACACAAAGCACGTAACCTGTTTTTTTCCCCAGCATTGGATATTATCAAGTTAGGATGCTATGCAAATACAGGGGAGGCTGCGGTGAAGTGATGCTGAAACAGAAGGCGGCCTCTCTCCGCCATCTCTTCACCTGCACGTCAAATAGACGGAAAATTGAAAATGTGAAAATTGCGCTCAGGATATTCCGTCCCTCTCTAATGTATGCGCGTAATTAGTGCGTTTAAACAAAGCGCGGATGTCCTGCTGGCTGAAATGGCGGCTGACATCTCTTTTTCCACAGGGTTAATAACAGTGTGCGGATAAATGAATCAAATTGTGGCCCCCAAATTACAGAGCGACTCTAAATACCCGTCTGTATTACGCACGTCTGCTTGTGAACGCGCGGGGAAAAGGCATAACATTTTATATTGTTATTACACTCATTACATTGATTTGCGTGCAAATAAACAAGCTGGGAAGTTTGTGACACCGAAAAGTTGCGGATGGATTGAATCTGACACCGTTCGCGTAGTGTCAATGTGCAGTGCATCTGCGTATTGGTTACTTTAAATGCAGAAGAGAACTCAATAATACTATTGACTTTGTATCGTGTGATAGACTGAGAGACAAAAAGGTTAATTACAAATGCACTGTTTCTACTTATGCACTATTTCTGTAGGTAGCATCAGCGTTGGTTATATTTTGTGAGGCTGTTGAATAAAAAAAGAAGTAGTAGAAAGCTAAGATAGATGGGTTTACCTGCAATAAATCTAAGCGCCTGCACCTTAACTAAACAGATCAATGGCGCTCTTATTCCAGTTTCAGTCACAAAAGGGTCATACAGCTATCGCTTAAAAATAGATAAAAGATAAAAAAAAAAGGAATAACTTGTGCAATTTTCTGGACATGTAGTTTATTGTTATTTTTCGTTTGCTGCGATGCTCTAGAAGAAGAAGGGAAGAGAGAGAGAGAGAGAGAGAGAGAGAGAGAGAGAGAGAGAGAGAGAGAGAAAATTGCAGCTTGCTGAAGTTTTTGGATTGGATTCTGAAAATGATCCTTTTAACAGTGATGGGTTCTGAGGCGAGGATAAGGGTCATGCCATTCACAGCGGGTTAAATAGACTTTCATTTAAAATTACATTCTCGATCCATCTCTCCATCTCTCCCCCCC